TGCAGCGGACTGAGCAGGAAGTCGCAGTTTTGCGAGAATTAGCGACCACTGTCATTTTCTAGTGGACACTGAGCATTTCAGATGGATAGATTTGGTGAAGGAAACGAGCAATGTGGAGTATATTAAGCTTATTGTGTCCTGTCTTGACTACACTGCTGACGATTCGCTTGCGCGAGTTATCCTCCATACTGCTCTTACATCATCTATTGAGGTTTTCTATGTTCATTTTTCTGGATAGCAACAAATAGTAGACATGCAACCTTTTTTAACGAATTGTTGCAAATTTTATTTTTGTTACTGTTTAATTTATCAAATTGCTTTCGGTCCGACACGGGATTTGAAGAACAGTTTGTTGAGTTTGTGAACAGCGTGCCTATTTGAGTTAAATAATTAAAAAGTTGGATTTTGAGCTGAACGAGAAAAAAAGCATTCACAATTTGCGAGGCGTGCGCAATTCTTACCATAGCACCGACGGTGAAAAAAAAAAAAACTCAATGACCTACTCCATCATTATCGTTTGGACATGGAACAATGAATACCACTTTTGCTGAGAAGGAAAAGTTGGGGTGACACAATGAGCTGCGAAAAGATGCCAAATGGGCGCCTGTATGTTGCTACAAGTTTACAGTAAAAGCCACAGTTTTGGTCAGGTGTGAGTGATATTATCAAGACACTGTACAACAAAGAGTTGTGCTGACCATTTGGCAAGTGTGCGATGGATAAAACGGATTACTGAATGATACTCACGCAGTGAAGCTCGCGGAAGAGGGGGTCATCGACAGCCTTGCCGGCGAGTAGTTGCCCATGGCACTTATGACCGCTTGGGCTACTTCCTAGTCCCTCTCATACAAAGCAAATGAGAATTTTGATTTTAACCTCTACACTGAACTGAAAGCTCTTTTGTGTAACGTATTGAATTTGTTTATTTCCTAATGCAACTTACTGTTGTAGGCTGGAAGAAAATGGGCAACACGATTTCTCGGAATTTTGGCATCTCACGAAGTGGATCATTTCGTTGACTGGGGAATGAAATTAATGATTGCTCAGCTTGCAGATCCATCGGCAAAAGTTATTCGACACACCTTACGGCTGTTGCATCGTTGGATTCCAGTATGTTTAGTCTTTCATTACTTATGTTATGAGTGGCTTCTGTGAATTAAAATTTTAGATGTCTTTTTAATATACACCTACTTGGAGTGCTTGATTTAGCAGGAATTCGTGCTCTAGTTCTATCCTTTCATATGTAATATTCACCAAGAGATCTGTATTTGCAGTGTAATGATTCCTGTTTTTTTTATACTGTGTTATTTTGAACTGTTGTGACGATCCAGCAAATATTAATTGGTACTCTTAATTTTGTAATTAACCGAATTTTCTTCTCTTGCTGATAACAATGTACCAGCATTTCTGCATGCTTTATATTGCCAGTGAACCGTAATAGAAACGTGCTGCCTTTGTGGGGGAGGGGGGAGCTGTGACCAATGCTGCGCCATTTGCTGATTAGCCTGCTGATGCTTTCTTCGTCATTTTGAGGAGAATTGCTAGATATTTTGTAGGAAATAATAATGTTACTTTAGCTATACTGAATTAGGCAACATTTGTCGCATTGCACGACGTGCACGTAGCTGTCTATCGGCGCCCAGATTTTCTCACTACCATCAACATCTTAGTAATGAATTACTTGACAATATTGTAAATTTTTGTACCAATTTAACACCATTATCTGAAATTGGTTGCTTACAAACAGCGGTGTTAGCCCATCACTTTTATTGAGTAGGAGCCAGTATTTCGTGAGTTCTTTCATACTGTGGTTTGATTTTGATTACCTTCTTATTTTGCATGTGGGAGCTTCCCAGTAAAATCACTCTTATTGTTTGATATCCAGTGGTCTTAATGTCCTTTACTGATTTTCCTTTTTGTTTTTTTTTTCTGCATTTTGATAAAATGACTAGCATTTCCCTTTTTTAAAAAAGTTCAGTCCTACACTTGGACGACACTATTTCATAAAATCATTCAAGCGCAGCGCTAAGTTTTTTTAAAAACAAATATTGTAGGTGTACGTGCGTTTGTATACTGTAAGTTGTCTTGAAAATTTTGATGATCTTAAATGTGTCCTTGATTTGCTTCATTGCAGCAGTACCCGGGAAGTATTCATCTGATCAAAGATATACAATTTGAAACATTTGGAAGCGCTGGAACACTGCTCAAAGCACATCTTTTCGCTGATGAAGTCTTCGTAAAGAGCAATCTTTCTGAATCATTAGTGGCGCTGGATCACTGGAAAAAGGTCTGAGTTAGACTACCTCTTGAACGAGTAAGCGTAATATGCAAAAAGTTAATCCATGATGCACCACATACATTACTTTGTGGAACTTACATCTTTAGCAGTCTGTGGTTAATAATCCTTTTAATCGGAGCGTTAATTCTTGTTGTGAAAAAAACTTGTGCATATGTAACAACAAGTATATTGAACTGCTTACAAATGTTCTTGCAGTTTTCTGCCTTCGATATATATATATATATATATATATATGCAGGCAGTCCATGCATGTATATAATCATTTTTGAGTGACCAGACGGTGCTAAATGTTAGCAAAATTAGAATAATAATTATAAGGAATAGTCTGGACCATCACGAGCTTGTTCCTCAGTAGTCTTCGAAAGAGGGAGCCATCAGCAGCCTTGCTAGCTTATGATTGCTTGCTACTAGCTGGGCCAATTCCTAACACTTCCGCCTGTCACAAAGATTGGATACTGAAGGGAAGGGGTTTAACTTGGTTAAGAGTGCAGGAAAATAGACAAATCAGGTTGAATGCAGTGCTATTGATTGTGTTACTACTGCGAACCCCAGAGGAGGTAAATATCGCATAAATTGGCAGTACTTTTTATGCTTTTGTTTGTTTAGTTTTGGGTTATTACATTTTTCAGGAATTTAATTTGCACTACGTCACTATCATCGAAGAAGATGTTAGAGTTGCGTTGTTAAATGCGAAGCGCTCACTGGACGGACGATTCGCACGAGCCTCTAGTGAACGGTAATTCAGCCCGTTTTTTGGCATCCTCACCTTCCAGCAAAAGAGGATGCACCGTCTCAGATGAAACTGTCTTCCACTTTTGCGTTTCTGTGTGTAAACAGAGTATTTTTAAACCCGGTTTAGTTTTCGGGAACTCATTGTCTGGTTTTTAACGTTGAACTGAGTGCTTCCGGGCTGTTTGTTTTGTTTTTTCTATTATAATTTGCTTTCTTCTGGGTCTTTTCGGTTTGATTTTCTACTTTTCTAACAACTTTCGCTTTCTACCAACGATTCTGGCGAGATTTTGCCCAA